GTATATTTACATACTTGCCTACCTCTGCATCTGTGTCTATATTATTAAAACCTAGGAGTTCTTGCCAGTTCTTCAAATTCCAATCTAATGTCCCAGGGTTTAGTCTAGCTTTTCCTCTTTCCATATTTATAATTTCCTTCTTGAATATATTCAAGAAGAAATCCCAGTACCTTGAATATGTTTACATATTTTTCATTTCTTGTATGTACCCAAACTCCCTGTCACCACTCCCCAACCTCCACCAGACACTCTAGATCAATGTTTGCCCAGGCGAAGAAAGAAAAGCTACAGAACTTGATCCTGGACATGCTATTACTCCCTCCCCTCTAGGTGCTCTCACCAGAACACAGGGAAGGAGGAAAGGCAGTTAGAAAGCTTGGCCCTGAGTACTTGGCCTCCCCTCTTCTCTAGCAGTCACACTGGCCAAAAGTTGGGCCCTGGACATCCCAGGCTGGTTGTACCAGCCAGCTGACCCAAGCTCAGCCTTGGCAAGAGGGAAAAAACGATGCCTTTCTTTACTTCGTAAAGTAAAACAAAATTTTCAAAAATTGAAGCAAATGATATAATCCCATTAGAAAAGGGATGCTGCCCTCTAAAACTTTTGAAGTTCTAAAGTTTTAGAAGGCATGTGGATCAGTAGAATCGTGTTAAATCCCTCTCGAGTGGTTCCAGATTTGAATGTTTAGATTTTCTTACTGGCTGAGATAGAGTTTTTACGTGCTATTTAGTAGCTAATATAGTCTTACAGTAAAAAAGGTATCCGAAACTTGAAATTTTTTTTTCCTTGTCAGTTTGAAAAAGAGAAAATAAATCTGTTTATCAGTGCTTGATTTGTATTATGTATTATGGTATATTTTACAATTATAGCCTTAGCCTAAAAAGTAAGTTTTTAAAAAATGTTTGTTTTTTATGAAAGTAACTTTATATTTCAGGAAATTATACTCCAAACTCCTTTCCCTAAGCACACCAGCTGTTTTTTTTTCCTAAAGGTTCTTCTGAACTTTATTAATAATCTTCAAAAATTTTTACTTAAGGGTGTTACCTTTCCAAGTACTGATTCTCACCTAGGAAACATGGGAAAAATAGTGATGCCTAGGTCCCACTCCAGTTGTTAGTTCAGAATCTCTGGGAGTAGAGCCCAAGCATCATTATGTTTTAAAATTCACAGGTGCTTGTAACATGTAGGCAGTTGAGACCCGCTGATGTAAACCCTGAACTCCCCAAGAGCAGAGAATGTGTCATTGTCTTTGTGAGT